TTTTGAAATTGTAGTACTAGAAATGAAAATAAGTAAAATTATTGATATTCAACGTCTTTAGTTTTGTGAGAGTCGGAAATACTGTGAAACACAGTTTAAAATGAGAAAGGCGGTGGAAAATACATTGTATTGAGAACTCAGTCATGAGCGGCAACGAAAATTGCAAATTATCAGGAGCAATTCGTTTGCATTTCGTTTCCTATGTTCCAGAATCGTGTAATACCTTTCTCATAGTGTTCACGCAAACATCATTATAGTGCCTTTTGCTAGAGCGGATTGATCAAATGAACCAGGCCTCCATCTACACACAGTACAAGAATGAGAGAGAAAGTATACACTGTACGTACCTCTACACGTATTTCTATATACATCGAAGGCATAACAAAACATGTTTGAGTTTGTTCTCACTCAGAAGTCACTGCGGTTGTCTACAGTCAATAATCAATAATTACACAGGCCCGCTAAATTGAAGTTTTTGGAAAATAGTACAGTAGAAGCTTTCGCTGATGTTTATGTCATTGGGTGTGCTGATGTCGAAAATAACCTCCATTTTTTCAATACAGATATTATTACTAAAATCATATTTGAAGAGGATAGTACATGAAAATTCTACAATTTTGCATGTTGTCAACAGTGATTTTTATTCATGTAATACATGTAAAATATAATAGGTTATTTTTAGGCAAATTGATTTTTCAACAATGTTATTTTTTATTGGTTTAAGTAGATTAAATTGGTTTAATTGATTTATTGGTTTAAATAGATGAAAACCACTGTTGCCAGATCGCACGAGCCGCCTCTACAGTTTTTAGGAGAAAATCATCAATATACTATTTTAATTGGTTTTTATTAAAGTAACGTACATAACATAAATGATTAAAGAAAATGAGTAAGTTTACATAGAACTTTGAAACATGTTTTGAACTGAGCCAAAAACGAAAAACAAAATAGTTTTATTTAAGTTCGTACTCTTTTTCCTTTGAAACTTCTTTTTAACGTCCTGCTTTTATGTACAATCTCAGGCCAATCTCGTGTTACCATCCAACAGTAGTCGGCGAGCATGTTCCTTCCCTACCTTCTTTGATATTTGCGCTCAATATCTTTCTAGTCTTGGTGGAATCTTTCACCATGCTCTGCGTTTTTGAACACTATTCATCTTGCCGCAGTTAGTGCCTTCTATTCGTCGTAAGTGTAGGTCACAGTCATGTGGAGTTGCTGAATTGTGAAATGCAAAATAGAATCTAGTGACTCTTTTCCCCTTTCTATTCAAATAACATACAAAGGGCAGTAAAGAAATAGTATCATTTTCAACGGTCATGTTAACTCTTTGTTCAGGATTTAGTAAATTTTTAAAATAATATGTTACTGATCAAAATCAACTATCATCTTATTCTACTACCAAACATCTACTTCCACAAAGAACAACATTTGTTTAAATTAATTTTCTTTTCGTTCGACAATGTTGCCTTTTAGGGGATTGTACATGTGTATTTTTTACACATACGTAACGTTTAGGCCGATAATCTCTCTCTTGTATATTTTTACTACTAACTAATTTGTAATAGTTATTTCATATTACTATATCGTGTACAATAGTTAAAATAGTTAATGGTATAAATACACATCTATACAACTTATATTACAATACACATCAATACATTATTTAATTAATTAGATCGTTGATGATTTAGATACCTTCTATTATTATGATAATTAAAGGATGTTGTCTGGTATCAATGGTTTTTTTTATTAAGGCAGAACTTTGTTTTTAGCTCGGAAGCTGCAAGCTCTGAGGATGATCGCTATGCGATCGAAACGATCATAAGCTTAAAAAGAAACATATTGATACCAGACAACATCCTTTATTGATCATAACATTATTTAATCTTACGTTATGATGATTCGCAGGTGCTCTACATAAATGCATAAAAAATTATGAAAATAACTATCTTGGTTTGAAAATGAACTCATTTGAGAACATGAAGTCGTAGGCTACCGCGGCCAGAGTCATGTGGGCGATGTGGGCTGTCCGGGTGACGCCGCGTCGAAGGCTGAGTTGCCGACGTTTCGACCACGACAGGATGGTCGAAACGTCGGCAACTCAGCCTTCGACGCGGCGTCACCCGGACAGCCCAGATCACCCTCGTTTGAGAACAGCTTGGGAGGCTCATAAAAACATTTCACCACCCCAGCCGCGAGCGTTGACGCTCTCGAGCGCTGGAAGCTGTACATCCGACAGCACACAATGCAGTCGCGCACTGGCGCCCCACTGGAGATGTTCGGAAAAAGCAGCCCAGCGGTTCTGGTAGAGAGCGTCGTTTCGTGCGCAGGTGTTGGCGGCGCTGGCGCGGCGCGGCTATCGCCTCGGGAAGTCTATAGGCGAAGGCTCGTACTGCAAGGTGCGCGTCGCCTTCAAGTCCTACACCAACGGCTACACGCGCAAGTGCGCGTGCAAAACCGTGGACCGCCGGCGCGCCTCCCAGGTTCGACTCTCTTTTACGCGTTCTGGCAGCCTCATTTTAATGTGTAATTGCTGAATCTTCCGGGAAGATGCAGTATTCACAGTTTCCCAAAAATTCCCAAGGTGTCGCAAGGAGTCGCTTTGAATTGACATCCTGATGTTTTGAATGGCAGCTTCTAATGCTTTGTAAAAATGACATCGACAATTACTCTTTTATTACACATTACATTTTGCACACTAGTCCTCATATATATGTCGGTGAGTAACAGGGTCCGAAATATGTTTTAAAAATTATGATCTTCCCTCTAATATATTGAAAAAAGGAGGAAAATTGATTGACCTAATTCAGTTTCATTTTATAATAATTCATATTGTAAATTGATTTCTACAGAGCATATTAAATTTTATAATGGAACGAAAACGCTCCTAAATTGCCAAGAGTTACGTCTTGTGTGTGTCTTCTGTAAAATTTGAATAAATAGTCCAAACATTTACATAATAATTCACTCTAAAAACACTAGTAGCTTATGGCCTTCAACAAGTATATGACGTCTAAAAAATTTCCAAGAAGATGTGTATCATATTCGCATGTCACCGACACATATGTCGAGAAACAATGCATTATTAGAAGTACTGACAAGATGCAGGGCAATATGTAAGAACAATATGTTTTGCGCAAAAAAAAAACCTTTAAAGGAAATAAATGTGATTCTAAAAGGTAGGTAACGAGTGACACAGGAATGTTCGAGATCTATCGTAAACTGTTTTTGCCTGACTTCCTTACACTTCGAAATACACGACAATTGTAACATGTAAAATGGTCGGATTCACTGAATTGCGTAATGAAACAGTCTTGTTACGTCTCGTGCTTCACGGTACACGGCTTCACCATCATATTAAGCAGTGTTTGAGAATAAATGCACTGCAAAATTGTGCGTACATTTTTTTACTAATCTGAACCAATTAGAGAGATCATGACAAAATGCTGGCTCACGAAATTCCAAGAAAAAATTCCCAGCGGCCGAAAAAAGAGGCATCATTACTATTGCCAATAAGAGGGTAAATAGGAGAATAGTTCACGTCATGATGTACACGAAACGTACGTAAAAACGATGGTATTAAGCAGATATTGAAAACTATTTCAACATTTTCTCTTTATAAAAATTGCTGACGACAACAACCTCACTGACCGTTACATACTAAAGACTACCCTGTATATTTAGCTTATACTCATTATTGTACTTAGATATTCACAATACAACAATATAACGATATATACTTTATCTTGTCCAATTTCAGCGCTATTATTTATATTACAACTCAAAGAAACACAAATAAAATCCAAAGAAAGATACGAATTAAAATGATAAAAAAATAAATCCTCACTTCAAAATAAAAAAAAATCCATCCTCACTTCAAAATAAAAAAAATCCATCCTCACTTCAAAATAAAAAAATCCATACATTCAATCATTACATTACAATGATATAATAAATTTGAGTACTATGTACTACTAAAATAGTTATCATGAGATAAATTACAATTTTTATTCCATGTTAAACGGAATGTATTTTTAAGAATAAACTCCCAAAATATTTCAGGATGTTTAAGAAAATAAAATTACCAGAAGAATTTTGCATTACGAGTATCAAAAGTATACGGGCCAACGTTGATTTGATTGATCATGGCAATCTTGTAACCATAGTTCCGAAAACATGATTGGCGTGCCTTCTGCAGCAAACACATACTTTATTTAGGCTGTCCTGGATCAGGACGAGCGGCGCCCCTGAGCTCTGTTACCGCTGTTAACAAAACTACCTCTTCTAGAGCGCCCCCTTATCGAACCCGGATCTCTTTTTTTCGTTATTTAAGGTCGTATCAACTTCTAGGTCATTAGCGGCCACTATTGCGAACGGTATGGTAGCTATGAGGATGATACGATATGATGATGATGATGATGATGGGCGGTGAAAGGACGAACACAATACAACCGTGCCCGAGGCGTGGCAAGCCGCACGTGTTGGGCTAACGCCCATAAACTCCCTCATACCGACAGCGAAGAAAGTGCACTGTCCATGCTCCGTTAGATAAGACATGGTCAATGGCTTAGAAATAAAATGTTTGTACCAAGCATGAAATATGCGCTGAGATACCTTCGCAGGAAGTTACAATAGTATGTACATATGTGACACTCTGTTCTATCTATAAGACCATAACTTTTATCTTTCAGAAAAAACACTTTAAAATTAAAATGCTTACATACTTTGTTTTAAAAGCAGAGATTGTTGATAATTTTCTGTTTTGTGTAAAAATATTTGGTCGGCAAAAATAGGGTTTAATAAATTTGTTTTATTCCCATATTAACTTCTTATTTCCATGGTCTTATAACGTCATCTACGAATATAATAAAGAAAGAGATAACGCACACCCTCTCATTCCTTTATTAATATTTTGTATCTTCAGTTCAACACACACTGTAGATTTCTATGTACCAAGCAAACAATAATATTCTCTGTACATTACGATTAACGCAACTCACCTGCTGCGTTGTTTGCTCCGTGCCTCGAGCTCAGGACTTCGTGGCCAAGTTCCTGCCGCGCGAGCTCAGCATCATCCGGAGCGTGCGCCACCCGCACATCGTCACCATCCTCGACATCATCGATGTGGACGACTACGTGTACATCTTCATGGACATCTGCGAGCGGGGCGACCTGCTCGACTACATCCGCAACCGCGGCCCGCTGCACGAGGGCCGCGCCAGGCACTTTTTCAAGTGAGCCGCCCGATCTTGAGGCATCGCTCGGCCAGTTTCTTTGCATTATTGGCTCTCCGAGACGAGCCGCGTTTCGGCCATCTGCATAATGCACTGCTGTCCATCAGTATAGCTCTGAAGAAGGCCACAGCATGATGGCCGAAACATCAGTAACATTGCAGTGACGTACTGAATATGAGTACGAGTATTCAATTGGTAGGCGCTATAAGAGATTAGGCGGAATTCCGCAATTAAGTATTTATACACTGATGTTTGTGAAAATTGCAATCACCAAGAAGGAGGTGTACTATTACAACAACAAATGTAACTGACGTTTCGGACATCGTGCTGTGTCCTTTTTCGGAGCTATACTGCACTGCTGTACAGCAGTATAGCTCTGAAGAAGGCCACAGCAAGATGGCCGAAAAGTCAGTAACATTGACCGAGACGAGGCTCGTCCCGGATAGCCAAGAATGCATTGACTCCGGCCGCGGAAGCCTACGAACCCAAAGGCCAGATTCTTTTAAAAACAAATATTTATTTCTTAATCTAATGTATACATTTATACATACATATACACATTTATACATATCAGTTGCCGTCTGGCTTAGTGAAAAATTCTTACTTCTATGAGTATTATACATATATACATATATTTTTTATAATACATAAGTCTATTCATCTGAATCTGCCTCGAGATCTACGCGGGGACTCCAGCTTGTCGTCTGGTGTTGCAGATCTTTTCTGTTGTTCCGCAGCTAGCTTCCTGTGGCATGGGGTGGAGGAGGGCGCCTCTGCGGACTCTGTCCCGCACTATCTGTTTGTACTCACCCGGGGCCAGTGTATATTGTCGGTGTGCGTGTAGTAGCATGCCGCACTGCCATCAATGGCCTCAGTGACTATTTTTTCCCTTAAAGTTGTTATCTGAGCTATCCGGGACGAGCCGCGTCACTGACGTGGTGGCTAACGTTTCAGCCAGCGTGTTGGTGAACAGCAGTGACGCGGCTCGTCTCGGATACCCCTGATAACACAAACTTCGGCCGCGGAGCCTACGCAACCATAGTTTAGTTAATAGCTCAGTTCAGAGAGAAGTGGTTCCGGCTGAAAGACATTTCATTTAATGACGCATTCACCTTGTTGGTGGTTATGTATAAATTTCATTTTTCATTTTCGTTAGGCTCTATCCCACAAACATCTTCTATTTATACTCAAATTACTATTTCTTTCTTGAATGAGTTTTATAACTAATTTCTATAATATACGTTATGGAATTTGATTCGTTTTATGTCTCGAATTCATTTGATCGATTTTTAACGTCGATTTTGTTGGCTTGCTCTTGATCTACACTAGTGGTATCAATGATGTCACTAATGGTCCCGCCACCATAGCATGCGCGAGGTTATCAACGCAACTAGTTTTGTGGAAGGAAACGATATAAAATCAGTATTGTGCTGCTTCAGACCACTAGTATAAAATGATTTCGGCAGGTGCGTAACAAAATTTAATTTGTGTAACATCTGTATGTCCTAAGAGATCCGACAGATCCCCAGACCTTATCTACGAATTATTTTCATTCATTGTAATGCTTCGACTCGTAATTCAACATCATCACTACTATCAGAATATTTAACTTCCTTAACTGTATCTTCTACAACTGCTTTGCTGAAGCGGATTACAGTGAAGCAGATCTAGTACGTTTTGCCGTGAAACGAGGTGAACGAAATTCAGAAGGTTTTGTGAAAAATAATATTGTATTTAGGTACTAACGGCCACGAATTATGTACTGCCATCTAGAGTTGAATTTTTGAAAATTATACATTTGGTAACTTTTGGTAACAAGCTTCTGAACCAGTCAACGCTAAAACACACGCTCATGATGCGCGCCTACTCCAAAGATAGAAAGTCTAGGACAAAAAACACGATCATATGGCCCCCAAATGTAGTATAAACAGTGGGTGTGTATTTTATTTTAAATTAACAAGAGAACTCGTGGTCAGGTGAAGTACATAGAGAAATTTTGTATAACAATTTTTTTCAAAAACTTCGTATATTAACAAAAAGTTAATTGAGGCTTCATTTATCTTTGCTTCTTCGTGAACTGTTAAATGAGTTAATTAACAAAATAAATTATTTAAAGGTGCTCTAGAGTGACAATCTTCACATATACTTTTACAACATATTTATATATACACAGTTGGGAAAAGGGGTACCGTCTTCTTTAATCAAAAAATAGCCGAAAAGGTTAGTAGAAATTTAGAATTTTTCATTTAACAATATTTGATTTTTAATAATATTAAATTTTAAGAATGTAATTTAATACAAAATAATTTTAATTTTAGTTTTGCGCAGAATTACGTAGCCAGGATTTAAAACAAAGATGACACGCGCGATGCCTCATCAAAGCCTCTTTAAACAATCATACACTGTATTCTCTACAAGTACCAAACTTTAGATTTTGACTGCTATCCTTTCAGACTGTATCTCATAGTTTTTAACACAAAATACTGATAGCTTACTTACATACTTTGACAGCAACATCGCGTCAGCTTATCAGAGGGGACTACTGCCTCCAACCGGCGCTAGCGTCATCTTTTTTATATGAATTCATAGGTTGGGCAATTGGCTATTGCGGCCGACCGTGAAGGAACAGACGGCGAATCTAGAGGCTGGGAATCGATCTAAGCTCTTCGCACCCTAGTAGACGGGCTTGGAATTAGTCTGAAAAGAGGCGGTAGATTTGGATGTCGTAGCAATTTATTGATTTCGTGCCCATCAACGCCTACTGTCATTAGTCCCGTAAGCGTAGTGATAGTTATTTCCTGGTCAGTTGCGGCGTTTTTACCCGCAGAAACGTCAGATCCAACGCTGCCCTAAATGACGACTTGCAGATATTTCCCCATCAGGTATCTCTTCATGTCGGGAGAAGCTGTTAACATCCGACGCGTCTTCCGACATGTGTGTTAAAGTAGTGCAAATAAGAGTGTGCGTGTATGTGTGTAAGCGTAGAGGATAGGTTAAGGAAGAGGAAGGAAAAATCACGCACGGTGCGTGGCCCGTTTGTGAGGGTACTGCTTCGCCTTGGGATTTCTCGGAGAATCCACAGAAAACTACCCATCAGAGCAGCCATTCACTAGACATCTCCTCCCAGACAGCAGTTGCATTCCACTCAGCTAAATAGTTAATGTCGAAAAATCCGTCACCGCCAAGACCCCAACTCCAGGTCCTCTAGGTCTGTGTTGGTGCAGAGTCAATGGAGAGGCCGCTGGGCTATCGCAGCCGGTTCGAAAATACAATCAAAAACAAAATAAATAACATGATTAATTACTGCAGCATCACCGAGTTATTCGATTGTGAGAGATACTGCATGTGTATTTCATTACATGCATATTTCATTAAGCCATTTAGTTGTTTTTTCGAAAATCCAACACCTATGCGAGACGTCTTCTTTCCCAAAAGAGTTCCCCCCAAACGTTCCTCCCCGGCGCGTATTCCGCAGGCAGCTGGTGTCGGCAGTGGCGTACCTGCACTCGCTGGACATCAGCCACCGCGACCTCAAGTGCGAGAACGTGCTGCTGGCGTCCAAGGAGTGCGTCAAGATCGCCGACTTCGGCTTCGCGCGCTGGTGCCGCGACGAGTCCGGCCGGCGCATCCTCAGCGACACCTTCTGCGGCAGCGCCGCCTACGCCGCCCCGGAGATCCTGCAGGTACTCCCTGCCGCAGCCGTCGTCGTCATCATGAGAACTGACCTCTTTTCTTTGCGCTCGGCGCAAAATCAATCGTCGTCGTCGTCATCATAAGAACTGACCTCACTTTCCTTTGCGCTCGGCGCAAAATCAATCGTCGTCGTCATCATAAGAACTGACCTCACTTTCCTTTGCGCTCGGCGCAAAATCAATCGTTGTCGTCGTCATCATAAGAACTGACCTCACTTTCCTTTGCGCTCGGCGCAAAACCAGTCGTGCTTGTCGTTGCCCGCAGCGATTAAACTGTCTGTTCAACTGTCTGCAAATAGTTATGAAGTTGTACCACTTCAAGGTCATACTGCGGGACATGACATATATTCAGCTTTTAAAACCTCATCGATTCTGAAAATATTCCTATACAAAAGTTGGTGGGACTGATGAGAATTTGAACAACGAAGCTTCGCAATCAAATACTCGACAAACAATGTATTTTTCATCAGTAAACGATATGGATACATGCGTTTTCGATTGAAGAAGGTTACTAAAGTAATTACTCTTTGAGATCTTTATCCACTATTTACTACGTCGCAAAATGGTTTACAGCACTTAATTATCATTTTTACTTCTTTTGGCCTTCTGGAATGGGCGTTGTTTATTCTGAAGTAAGCCTAATTCTACAGTATGTCGAGGGCGAGGACGAAGCTATTCAAATAAATGTCATAAGAGTTATTTTCCTTTAAAACTTGTTTTGTTATGGAATGATCGTAAACTTTCTGAATAAACTATTAAATTAATTCTGAATAAATAATTCGCATCGTTCCATACGTCAGGCACGTCTAACTGCGCCCGCACGAGCTACTTGTCCGCCTAGGAACACTGGCGCTCCTACAGGCACGGGCAACTTCCCCTGACTCCGCTCTCATTTCCCCTCCAAATTCAGAAAGGGGTGTACAGGCGCAATCTGAAGCGGTGAATAGTGGCTTCATACGACAATATGTTCGCCACATTTTCTATCAAATAACCGACAATTGAATCATGTTTATATTCTTCACTACGTATGATGTTTATTTTACTTACATTACCGTACTTATTTTACGGTTCTTCGATATTTCATTTCTTACTAAATTCTCTCTTTTATAAACATCTTTGTTAAGTAACCGTAATATGTTTGAATGGAGATTTTTTTCTTTGTTTTCGTTTTGTATGGGGTAATTAAATCATTCAGTTATTTATTATATTTAGCAACAATGTGAAATAAATTAACAAGTTTCTATTAGCTAACAATTCTCGCTTACGAACGGACAGCACTTTTAATAGACCAGAACATTTTCCTGTTAAACATTCTAATCTGAACGTAGAAAGTCCATATTTTATATCACTCTTCAGTAGACATGATTACAAAATCAAGATACTGTTGATTCAATTTTTTTTAATTTTACTCTCAATTGAGACTGATGAATTATTTCGTTGTCTTAATGAGAAAATAGGAATCAACGTAGCAAAATTTGTGACAATAACTATCAAGTAACTTCTCCCGAAGACTGTCATGGGCCAGGTATCCAGTGACGTATCGCCATTCCGTAGCATTGTACGACCCTCACTTTTAAATCTCGCGCCAATTTCTCTGCACGCAGTGAGCGCGAGCTCTACTAAGCTTTTTGCCTTGCCCGCGACCTTGACATGCCTGCCTTACGTCGTACTTGGAAGCGAGCAACTTAAGATTTATTTAATAAAAAAAAAACAGTAGAAACTGTATGTGACGTATGGGCGAGACGATTATATGCGCACGTTTTCTTGAGTTCCAAAAACCCTTCCCTTCATTTTAATTATAATTAAATAAATAAAAATAAATTTTAAAAATCGCAAGATTACCGATATTTGATAAAATAGACTTTTCGTTTCCTAGTTATAGAAAACTTATTTGGATCGGTAAACGAACTGCAAGTATGACTTTTCTGCATTGCTAACAAAATAGCAACTCGCCCTTACCTCTACTCTTACCGTTACAAGCAAAATGAGAGTTCAACAAAACGTGCGCATAGTGAAGCTACATTTACGTCCAGAAGCAAAACAAGCGGCCATCTCAGCATTTGCTCAATGGATCATGGAACTTCGACGTAAACTCCATCATTCCTTCTAATTCATAGCGCTGCTAAAATTGTGTATGAGTATTTAGTATTTGCATACTGCGCAGCGGTGTAGACGTACGATAGTCTGTGATAACGCAAAACTTCCAAAAGGTCACTTTGTGCAAGAGTAATGCGTCATTTGAAACAATTTCGTAGAAGCTGAAGTATTCGTTCAAATTTGTGGCACATTAATGACAAATGTGGCATTTTAATGACAATTTTACAATTTCCTCAATAATTATTATTTATTTGGGGTTTGTCGTCAGGTTGCCTACGCCATTACGTTTCTGAAATGCGGGCACGAAACCTCAATTTTTACTCTATCGATTGCCCCCTAAATTCAGGGACACTTGGGGCTGTAATCACCCGTCTTGTAATTATCTCTCTGACTTGATAAAGTCTCTTAAATTATGATAGAAGTTTATGGTCAATATTTTATTATCATTTTTTACTATTTTCTTATTTATGTATTTGTTCTGTATTACTTTTTAAGCACTGCAGTAGTTTGTTGAATCACAGAACAAGTAGTGTAAGGTAATTTTCAATGTATTTGCAGTAAATAATGATTTTTTTACTGTGTGACTTACTTTTACGAAGGTGTAATAAAAACAAAATCTCTAACAATTCCCCTAAAAAAATAATTCCTTGTCCCTCCGAAATTTACTGCTAGACGCGATAAAAACCTTCCAATTTAGAAGGTAATATCCCTAACTCGGTAAAATTGGTTTCGCGCGTTTTGAGCAGATACACATTCTACATTTCAGTCGACTCTGTTGTAGATCATATTATCGATGCCAAAGGAATGGAATGGAATAAATTACTAGAACTTTGTAGTAAATTACCAGGAAGAATACTACTCTCAAAATAGATAAAAAAGAGACGGCAAACAGTTTTAAGTTGAACTAACATTGGATAGAGTGTGAACTATTTCAAGTATTATGAATTTTTATAGTACAATATCACTCCTCTTATTTAATATACGAAGCATGCTTTGGTGTGTAAAATAAACACCATTGTTATTCATCATTTATTAGTACATTTTATTCACTTATTACAATTTTTGGTTCAAAATATAAATGACAGGCTCACCTTTGGATAGTTGGCACGATGTATTCTGTAATGTTTCGGCCTTCCTTCATTCTTATTCGACTTGAACGTCTTATGAGAGGCCGTACATTTTCGGTCACGTCATTTTGTACACTGAGAGAGGTCACGTTTAGTGTCTTACTGAGAGGAGAGGGGGTTGTCGGTCGATTCTCAGAGTTTCTATAATTTAGTGCTTCATAAGAACTTTTATATTTGTCCTGTCTTAGTACGTAAATAATAGTATCATATTTAGATGTCATTTGGTGAGTATCAATTACCGTTTCGTAGTTTTATTTCATTTAATTTTGACATATAAAATAACAATATAATATAACGTAACACCTCCACCCAATCTTTCCACCATGCTCCGTCCCTCCCTAGTGACGTCACTCAATCTAAGAATGGTCAGGAAAAAGGTAATCGTTGATCGATGAAAAATATATTTATTGTTCTAATATATTATAAACCCAATTCTTGAATTCCCAACCGTTCACGAAGTTGTATTTCTCTGTGAAAAATATTTCCTTGTCATTACGCAAAAGCTAATACCAAGTATTATTTTGTAACCCTTCACTCTTCTTTCACTCGAACTTTCCTATTTCACGCAGTATGGTTAGAAATAATCTGGCACTTACTACGAACATAATGAAATCCCTTCATGAATAGGATACAAAATAAATATTCGCACAAAAACCTAATG